TGGATGAGCAGAATTTTTAACCCAGTTGTTCTTAACGGAGCAGAAACTGATGAGAGAAATTAGAACATGCATGCCTGCATAATTTCTCCTGTGAAATGAAGACTGAAGAAGAGCCACAGGAGTGTAGAAGTATAACACAATTCCAGAATGACAAAAGCAGGAAACTTTTCAATTAAAACCTGCTACTCTGGTTAGTATAATACTGCATGTTGGCACGCAAAGGCAACACTTAACTGCTTAACTGCTCTCCTGTGATTAAGCAAAACTAGTCAGAATTATCTTTATCTCGCTGGCTGCTCTGCTTACCAGGACTGTGCTCTGCTTCTCAGCTGCTCGGGGCAGGCAGGGAAGGTGCAGGGTATGGTCCCACTTGGGGCAGTGGCTGGTGTGGCTGGTGCGTGCTGGGCGTTGGTTGTGTTGGGCTGGTTTCCTCCAAGCTGCCAAAATCTGTGAGCACAGTGGGCTGGTCATTTAGCCTGCATCAGGATCCTAGTGCAGAGAAGTGAAACTTGTAGTATCTCCAGTTACGTTTCATAAAGCGACACGCCTCCTGGTATCACTCTTGGTTACAGCAAGAAGCGAGTTCTGCTGCTTTATGTGTCAGGTAACTGAAGTGTGTGGTCAAGTGTATGTGCTTGTCCACGTATCTGTCTGTGTGCTGTGCATATAAAACAGAAGTAACATTTTGTTCGTACATGATTATTTTTTAATTGATTGCCAGAGGTGCAGTAAGATTCGTACTCCAGAATAATGACGTCTTGGATATATGTAAACTAGTTTGAGAATCCTGAGTTGCACATTTAGAGTCCACAGGTTGTGCTACAAAATAAAGTAAGGTGTGATTAAACTAAGAAAGAAATGTAATGTACTGTGGTCCATAGTACTTGCATCTGCACAAAAGCTGTGGCTTTTCACCTAAATGGCTTGAGTCTAACAGACTTGCATTCCTCGTGGTGCTGTTCAGTGATGTTATGGTGGGAAGTCCTCCTTGTGATTACAAGTTTTACAGCCATAATTTATTTTTTAATGATGCATCACTATCTGTCAGGTAAACATAACAAGACACTATAATCCACTTAATTTAGTGGCTTCTCTTCTCTGTAATTCTGTTCTGTCTGTGAATTTCTGATGGAATCGGCTTATCAGGCTTTGAAAACAGGGTGTGGTGCTGCTAGTACTTCGTTTTAAAACATACTCAGAGAAAGTGTAAGAGACTGTTTTATTTTTCTTTTCCCTACGTGTTAAGATTTCCTGAAGTACAGGACAAAGACCCACTTGTTTACTGCTATTTGGTGTAATAAAACCAGTAAACTAATGCTCTTATGCATTGCAGAGAACTCTCTCCATGCATCCTAAGTAGGTCTTGGGTGTTGGTATGCTTCAGTATGACTATAAAACCAAATGAAATATCTCTCCATAGTGAAATCAGGTTTATTACAGTGTAATTTCCTTCTAAAAACAAGTCTCCGTTTAAGGAGTTTTATCTAAAATAACTAATGAATGTAATGGCATTAAATAATAAAATATTGTTATGATGCCAAAAATAACTTCTCGGTCTCTTTGATCTTCATTTCAGCTAAAGATATAAAATTCCACTAGAGACTTTTGTAAACAGACTCCATTAATCCAAACAAATTCTTTTGAAAAACAGCAACTATAATAGATGTTGATTAAGACAGTGAATAACCTTGAGTTTTAATTTTCAATACAGCTTGAGTTAACTCCACATTAATTGGAGTCACGCCTCTAAGTCATGTTGTACTGCTCTGAAATCTGCATGTGACTACTTCTGTTTGTCTTGGCTTTAATTAATCATTCTCTTATTTCTTGGCAGCAGCCGTTATTGGGCAGGGAAATACGGTTCCAGGTGTAGTCTTGAGTCTTTACAGCTTCTGCCTGCCTTCTGCGTACTGTGGCTCTGCGCAGCGCAGGCGGTCCTAGCAGCATGGAGTCTTGCAGCAGATGAAACACAGATACGTCTGTAGTATTTCCAACTGGTGTGCTGATGGGAACTCTCTCTAGTAGTCTTTAAGCCTTTCTTCTATCATTGAAGAAGTTAAAATTTCATTTTTTCTACATCTACATTGCTTAGTAACATTCAGTGCATGTGTAATGTAAGCTTCTGTGTGTTTGCATGCTGCTTAATTTTTTGTTTTGCCATAAAGCTTTCCATGACTACCTAAGAATAAGAAGGATCCCATTTAAAGAGATGCAGACATATGTTATTTATGTTTAGAAAAAGAAATACATCTGGTTCTGACAACACATCATTATCTTATGTGCTTCTAAAGAATGCACCAGTTGATATAATTATCTTGATTAAGAGTGTCAGTGGAGTTAATAAAGAGGAGTGCCCTGAGAACTGCAGTGTCTGTATGGCTTGGCCCTTTGTGCACTTTGGGGACCTCATTTCTGATTGCCTTGTTCTTTCAAAGTTCCCTTATGGGGCAGGGGAACAATTAACTCCCGTAAAGCGGAAGCCCAGGAGCAGCTGGGCCCACTAATGACGGGCAGTATGGATTTGTGCTGTGCCAGACATGAATTTCTCCCCAGGGATAGTCCCTCGGTATTATCCCAGCTCGTCTTGTGCCGTTAAGTGCCCTCAGACAACGTGGTGCCACTCCTCATGGCACACAGTGCGTGTATGCACTCAATCTTACGTTACTAAAAACATTGCTTGGGGGCAAATCTTGTGCCTTGTGGATGTAACCAGTCTCTTCCAGCTAGTCCAGAGGAGCAGAGGCAGAAACGGGGCTGCGTTGCTTCATCAATTCCCCACAATGTAGCCTGCAAAGAAAGTAAAGAATTTGCCAGACATGATAGGAAGCCTTGGGCCAACTCCGAGATCTTTCTGTAAGCTGGTTCACCATATTACAGTTGAAAAATAATGTGTGTTTTCTAGAGTTTGATTATCAGGTTTTGCCTGTTTTCCTTGTTGCTCCTGTTTTTGAATGCTGACCTTAATGGTCAAGCACTGGAGACTAAATTAGCAATTCAGTATGTGTGACTGGCAGTGGGGACGGAGAGTGAACTTTGGTTGTTGGAGTGCTCAACTTGTGCTTCTCACCTGAATTCAGTTCTTGCAATGGGAGGATAGCTGTAAGAAGGTTTAAGTGCCAACATGTTGAATAGCAGTGAAGAATAGAAGAACAGGAGATGGCTGAAAAGCCAAAGGCAGAGGAGTCAGTGCCCATGTAAGGGATGGTAGTGGTGGTTTGGAACGTGCACGTTAACCCCAGGTTGTAAGCTTCCAAGGAAAAGCAAGAAAGCAGCCATAGGAGGGGGTAAGAAATTTCCTAGCAATATCAAAATAAATGCTGAAAACAGCATTTGTCAGTATGAATATTGCAGCTGCGTTGTTCAGAACATCCTTGTGGTACCTGAGATGTGCATGAACAGGGCTTGATGCCAGTGTGGTAGTAAGGCGGGGAGAGGAGGGAGATGGCACCTTGCATTTTTGCAGGAGATCTTTTGGGAGGGATGTTTTATTTTAGTTTTTAGTTTAAGCGTTTGTAAGGCTCCCTCTGTAGGTGTCAAAGGAGGAGAAGCTTCTCCAAAGGTTGATTTAGAACAGCTAAATCGGGTATCTGTCTGGATCTCCCTTTGGAGGAACTCTGTCAGAGGAGTTTTGCTCTTTGCGTTAGCTATAGAGAGCCATGGTGACGGCCACCACAAGTTCCTCGGCTTTTATGATTATTCCCCTAACCATGTGTGTGTGAAATTCCAATAAAGGCTCAGTGAAAAGTAATGTAAATATTTCATTCCTCTGTCTCTGAGAGAAGGAAGCTTGTGTTGTTCATAATGTTGCAGTATTGAAGAACATAATGCATGTGGTTTGAGTTCTGTCCCTACCCTGACTCTGTTAAATACAACTTTCAGATATTTTAATCTGTTTTGTTGACACCTGTATACGGCTTCCAGTTATTAACATTTGATTTATTTAAGTGTGTGTGCAGTGGGGAAGTATTAGATTCCACGTCTCATCTAAGGGCTTGCTCTTAATAAATTGCTCTCTTCTGATGGTCCCTCAGAGCTTTAAGGAGAGATGCAGTTGTACTTGGTAACTAGAAACAATAAATTTTTAAAAAATAACTAGCTATTACTGTAATAGTCATTGCAGGAAACAAATGAAATTAATTTAGGTACTCTGTGGTTGGAATTAACGGGTTGTGTCTGGTTTTTTTTAAATACATTGTTAGTCAAGACGATGATGTGTTTATGATATTACAGAAGCATAGAAATTTGTGGCACCGTATGAAGACATTTTTATTTCAGCTCTAATCATAGGCAATCTAAACATAACTTACTGACTGTGAGAAGCACATGTAATATGGTAAACTGTCAAATATATGGGTTAACTATCTGTCAATCACTTATTCTTCTGAGCCACCACTGCTGCGTGTGTACTGCTTATTTTCTTGTTATGGGGAGAGAGTGCATATTTAGTTTATGCGTCTTCTCTAAGCAGTAAAAGAAGCAGTTTTTCTAGCTCTAGTACTGGCACAATTACTATCAACTTTTTAAAAGCTTGGTACTGAATACAGGCTGATGCCTGAAACTCCCTAGCTGGTGCCAAGGGGCTGACTAGGAAGCATTGGCTGAAAACCTCTGTTTAAATTTTTGCGAAGCGTGTGCTTGGAGCTTACAGCTGCGTTCGTCGTTGAAGACTGAACCATTTCTGTGTTACGCAGGCATTAAAATACAGAGTGTGACTTTCAATGTGAATTGAAGGCACTTGGATTTAGATTTGCTTCCACACTTTTAGCAAATGTAGTGCAATATTGACCTATGGTATAAGAAACTAACATGAAACTAAACGTTACTAAGTGTTGTGAATCTGGATTTTTTTTTTTAATTACATGCTACTCTTAAACTGCCCCTTAACTAAATAGGTAACTAGGAGCTTAAAAAGCATGTTTGATTAGAGTAGCTGTTGTTTCATTCTCCTGTGTGTTTTTTCCTGACTTTCTGTTGGTTTTTTTTTCTTCTTTCTTAGTCTTCATGAAGAAATCATTGACTTTTATAAGTATATGTCTCCCAGACCTGAAGAAGAGAGAATGCGGATGGAAGTGGTGAACAGGATAGAAAACGTTATAAAAGAGCTCTGGCCTAATGCAGATGTGAGTAGGACACTGTTCTATTTGTTAACATATAAAAGCAACATTTTGTGCTTGTTTACTTTGTGAAGTATTGAATAATGAAAATACTGTTTAGTTTTCCATATTAAAAAAAAAACCAAAAGGATTTCTGGTCAAATGAGAGAGATGATCTTTATTTCAAGAATAATACAGGTCAACATTTTCTATCACACATAGGAACAAAGACAAGCTAGACCTACTGTAGTCAAAGAAAGGGCATAAGGTGTGGCAACATTTATATTTAATTATATTTATTATAATTAATATTTATTTACTAAGATTAATGGGAACATATCAGGCATGCGTACGTGCTTGTAAAGTATTGTGTTAAAAAAAAAATCTTCTGAAACTCATAGCTTCACTAGTAGCAGGGCTTCCAGTCCAAAGACCTGTGGTCTTGAATAAGTCTATTAAGGTGGAATGCCAGCAATGCCACATTACGTAGACTATGCTATTTTTAATGGGCAGTTAAACTAAATTGTCATATCTTTACAAATTTAAAGGAATGGTTTTTTTTGTACAGGAACAAACAAGTCTCTAGATCTGCGTATTGAGCTTAAACTCTTTAATGCCTCTTTCCACTGAAGGCGGGGGTTTGCTTCATTCATTTGAAACAAGAGTTTCTCCTATGCAGAGCTATGCTTTTTTTAATAAAGGTTGGATTAAAGAGAAGCCAGAGAAGTTGCTTTTACAACTCAAGATGGTTTTATGGGGACACAGTTGAATTTTTAGCATAATTGAATCTAGTTTAATTGTATTCCTCTACTAACATGGTGTTCATTTCCAGAATGCCGATTTGTAGCCATAGTCATCTATCTGTAGATAACAGTAGCTGAAAATAAGGACTTGTTAGCCGGAATAGCAAACCAAATTCAGACAGCAGAATCTTCAGTATACGGAACGCTCTTTGATCCTGCCACGGTAAAAGATAGTGTTTTGACATGAGTGACTTAAACCCACTGTTCATTCAGATCTTCTTAACCTGTTTTTTGGAATGTGTTTTTAGAAATTGGCAGAATATGACAGAATATGAATTCTGTATAAGCTATATGTATGTGGTGTGTGGTTTTGTGTGTAAAATATACTCACATTTTCAAGGTGATTCATGTTGTTATGGACAATGTATTAGTGACATATAATATCGAAGGAGCACTCTCCACTCAGTGATAGCCACCTTTGCACAGTTACAGGGAGTTGAGTCAGTACTACACATCTGGTAATTTTCTCTTTGAGCAAAACCAATAACCTTTCCAAGGGAGCTATGTAAGAGACTTTAACATATCTCGCAGGCGTTGTATAGCTCTCCTCTAACCCAGTGAAACAGTGTTGTAGACCCTAATCAAGAGCAGGAGTAGTGGGCTGCCAGTCTGACAGGCAATAGTATAGGAAGCGGCGCAGGTATGAAACAGTGCTTACTATGATACTGTCGTGGTTTAACCTCAGCCGGCAGCTAAGCACCACACAGCCGCTCGCTCACTCTTCTCCCCCCCGCCGGGGGGATGGGGCAGTTTAATAATTGAAATAAAATAAAATAGTAGTAGTAGTAATAATAATAATAATAAAAGAATGTACAAAGCAAGTGATGCACGATGCAATTGCTCACCACCCACGGACCGATGCCCAGCCAGTCCCCAAGCAGCAGCCCCCCGGCCAGGTTTCCCCCAGTTTATGTACTGAGCATGACGTCCCATGGTATGGAATGTCCCTTTGGCCAGTTGGGGTCAGCTGTCCTGGCTGTGCCCCCTCCCAGCTTCTTGTGCACCTCCAGCCTTCCCAGTCGGTAGAACATGGGAAGCTGAAAAGTCCGTGACTAGCGTAAGCACTACTTAGCAACAACTAAACCATCGGTGTGTTATCAACATTATTCTCATCCTAAATCCAAAACACAGCACTGTACCAGCTACTAGGAAGAAAGTTAACTCTATCCCAGCCGAAACCAGGACAGATACACCCTGCCAAAGTCTTGTGGTAGGGGATTTCACCAAAATTACCAATTCCTTCAGCCTAGAGGAGATGCCACTATTTCTAGACAAGTTTGTGTGCTGCAGACTTAACTAGTGTAATGGGGTGAATGGATTTATTAACAGGGGATCTTTCTTTGTTACCACTAACACTTTGAATGGGGCACAAGAACTTAGCGCTTCCAGAGATACTCTGTTTGTAGGACAGACTTGATCTATAAAAGCTAGGTCTTTTGTATTAAAAATGATTTTTATATATGTGTGTATATATGTGTGTGTGACTTTGGGGCCTTGAGAAAATAGTCTTTCTTTAAGCTCCTGAAACTGGTTTTTGTAGCCATAATCTGTTTAAGAAGGGGAAGCAAATTACAAGCCCTACCACAAGTGGCAGCTGACCACTGGGCTTAGCTGTAACGTGACTGAGAGGAAGCACACACTGTGCAGTTGAAAACTGAAGTTCACTTTTCAAAAAAAAACTGCCACGACTGTCTGTCTTCGCTGTTCTTGAAAATGTTAGAGAGCAGGAGTGTGCCAGTTCCTTTTTCTCAAGTCAGTAACTGCTCTTTAAAGCCTAACTCTGCATTTTGTCTGCTGTTACGTTGAGGAAGAATTCTGCTCTTGTATGCCCTTCCATTTTCTGGAGGCTAGAAGGGAACTGAACAGCGACAACAGCACACCAGGTTATAATCTGGAAATTACTGTAATGTTATTTTTCTAATACTTTACAGATCTGCTTGGGAATTAACTGCTGAACTCAACTGTGTTCAACTTTCACAGTCTTTTGTTGTAATTTTTCAGTCGTTTGAGTTAATCACTAACCTTTTGGAAATCTGTGTTGGTTTATCCACTTGTAAGATTTAAGTTTTGAGTACGTGCTCTGAGAAGGTGGAGTGTTATCTGGTCCAATGTCCTCAGCTTTAGCTGTAGTGTAAAGCGATAAGTTAATGTTTAAGCTGTTCATTTTGAGTCATAGATGCAGTGAATCCAGCTAAAATAAACTTGTAAGTTAAACATACATATTTAGTTTGTAGTTTCTCACTAAACACGTAGGTAAGACTCTATAAAAATCAGGTACCAAGAAAAGGAGAATCGGGTTTCGTGAATCTAAATGTATAGAGAGCATGTGGAATGTGTCTGTGCACATACATTTATTTTTTTTTTCCTGTTCCACTTAGGAAAAGGCTGAAAAAGCAGACGGAAGGGGGGTAAAACTAGGTATCCTAAACTGTTACTTTATTTATAGAAGTTAGCAATTGTGTCATTTGCTCTCTTACTCAAGGGAATGTGCTTAGAAGGAAACATTCCTAGTAAGTGAGAACTGTTCTTGGCATCAGCAAGGTTCTGACCCTAAGAAAGGCTTTAATTACACTGAAACTGAACAACCCAAAACATTAAATGAAAGCATTTTAAGACAACGTTTTCTGACCAGTTGAATATGCAAATTTGACTATTGAACAAATAAGTACTTAAACAGTGGAATTGAGGATACATTTGTCATAATGTCCTCAGCTTTGTATCTGAGTGTTGTGTGGCTCATAGGTCTGAAAAGAGGTAATGTTGCATACTTCACACACTTCAGTTATGAAAATACTATGATTGGGAATGGAAGTAGAAAGATGAACTCTATTTAGTTTGACAAACTACAGAAAATTCTGCTTAATGATGTAGAAGAAAGGGAAATTTAAATTGGCTATGGACAGATTTTTTTGTTTTGATGGAGGGATTTGGTAGGAAGGACTTTTCCAAGCTTTTGTGGGTTTCCAAGTTCTGTTGTGCATAGTGAGGACATATTTGGACACATACCGTAATTAAAGCTCCTTCAGGAGCTTTGGAATTTAGTATGAACAAATTCGCAGAAATGTAGGATAAATAGTAACAATAACATACAGGAGTAGAAAGAGTCCATTACAGTACTGCAAAGTCTTAAGTTATCTTATGAATGCAAATACATATTTGTGTCTGCATAGAATAAAAATATAGTCGGCAGTGTTCGCACACCACAAAAACTAATGCTTAGGTCTCTCAAGTCATAATAGTGCCCTGTGTTTGGGATGCTTTAAATATGTACATGTCTACAGAGCTTCAGCAGTTTAAATTCCAATTTGATAATAAATCAAGATCCTTTAACGTTTCTGTTCCAATTTCCCCACACTTCCATCTTTCCAGATTTAATGAGAGAGGGATTGAAGTGTGGGTGTGGGTTTCTTTTATAATAATTCAGTGTTTCTCGTACTCCAGATTATTGTACAACAGCAGATGTTGTCTCATTCCTTTTGGTAAAGGTCATATATGTTGTATCAGTAAGTTTAGGAATACTTTCAGGGTTGTTTATTCAATAAAGGCTCTCTTTGTTGTTCAGCTGAACACATTATTTTGTTTGATAATGTGAAAGCACATTTAGTTTTTTCCGAACCCATCAGTGGTTGTTTTATTGTGCAAAAGCACTTCTTAGACGTTTTTGGTGACCAAATAAATCCTTGTTTGACTGAACCCAGTTTCAGAGGATGCTTTTATTACTATCCTGGATTAAAAATAGTAATTATTACTATTATTACATTCTTAGTTTTGTGATGCCTTTATGCTTTTGTCAAGATCTAGTAGAATATTGATGCTAGTTCTGTGGCGTCTGTGGCAGTCTTTTCTAGTTTGAGAAGCTATGAACTTTCAACATTAAATTTACTGCCAGCGTGTGCTTTTTGTTGGGGGTCGGGGTGAGGGGGTAAAAAGAGTGAAGTGATAGAAAATAATCAAGAGGAAGCACTCATACTGCTTCTTAGTCTACTAAAGTATCAAGACACTTACTTGCAAAGCATCATCTTTTCCCGTCTCCCCCTTTTTCTTATCCCAAAGGGGAAGAACATAAAAAGTGGGTCACTTGACAGACAAATAGGTGGCAGTCAAGCCAGGGTATGAGACTCATTAGAGCAGAATATGCAAGTCTGTAAGGTGGCTCCAGGAAACCCATCAGAAGACTGTCTGGTTGAAAATTAGTCCAAATGGGTAGATATTTTTACTTTGAAGTCTCACCAGTCCCCCTTTGAGACCTAGCACCTGAGTCCGACCTCCCTTCGAGGCTTGGCTAAGTTAATGAGAATGTGGTTTCGGACAGCTTACAGTGGAAACCTGATTATTTAAACCTCCAGTGCTAGTAAAAATCCAGCATGATCAACTAAATCTGTGGGATGTGAAACTTTCTGACACTTTTTTTGTTTGTTGTTTAAGCAGAAGTAAACAGAATTGTGCTACCTGCTCTGTAATTCAGAAAAAAAAATGGATTGTGATTTAATTTTTCTTTTAAGTATGCAAAGCAACAGAAATATATTAAACTTAAAATTAGAAAATATGTTTAAAAACTGAAGGGTATACTTTGAGATATGAAAGCAAAAATAAATTGAACTGATACTGGGTTTTTTTAATGTTCTATCATTCTTAGGTGTTTTAAAATCTTTTGGTTTATGGGTTTTTGCCAGATTTGGTTGTGGTGAAAATTTTTACATTACAAAGAAGGTTTTGTAATAGAAAAGTCAGTTATTAACGTTTCGTGGGTAATAATAAAGATGTAAATGCTTTAACAGAAAATAGTACTTCTGTTCAGAATGTGCCTGTTAGCAGTACCAAAATCTACCAGTGGAGGGTGCCAATAACCAGCCTTTACAAGCAACTTAATAGAACTTGTTTGTCTTCTGAAGTCTGAAAATTTGTTTTCATATATCCTGTTCTTGTGTTGCAGGTGCAGATATTTGGAAGTTTTAAAACTGGTTTATATTTACCTACAAGGTTAGTAATTTTTCAGTGTCAATTCCATACAAGAGAAAAGATAGCCTGTGGAACCTGTACCCCTGTAGTGATTTATCTGATCACCCAATACCTGTGTTACTTGTGTGTATACTTGTTATATTAAGAAAGTGTTAAGTTATTAGCACTCTGCAAAGCGTACAGAAATACAGTAATTAAGACTATTAACTGTAATACATGTGTCTATATACATTTTGCATGTATTGGTAAAAGATCTGAATTACGATGTTGTCAAAAAAGGCTTATTTTGTGATTTGGCTTCATTAAATGACTGAACCAAAATAAGAGGTTGGCCTTAAAAGAAAAGCTAAATTTTATCTCCACAGACAATTACATTGAAACATTTAATGTTACCTTGTTAATGCTAATGTTAACACTGAAGAGAAAAGATTAAGTACAGAACTGGTTTTTTCTTTCAGTCTTCCTTTGTGAACTTTGTACAATATCCAACCTCTACCTTTTCCAAATTTATTACTAGTTTTCATAAAGAAAAGTCATTACTCGATGACACTGGTATCTTCTGTGTAGAAATTGTAAGTATTTTTGACAACTAAATAGAAATAGAAGGAAAGGCTTAAATGGCTGCAGGGGATAAACACGTCTAAACAGCGTAAGTCTGAGTTAACGCTTGAATTGAGTTCCCTACTTTGGGAACATGAGGAATTAATACCTAGTACAGACTGCAAATGATGGATACCTGAGTCATCATTTCACCTCTTTTTGAAAAAGGAAGTATCTGACAGATACTTCAGTATCTTCTTTAGTCTAAGGAGTTGCAGGAAAGCTGAATTGCTTAGTTTCTGTTTGGAAAGTCAGAAGTAAGGTGGCCAAATACACATTGTTTTCACATTTGGCCTCGTTCTTGGCCTTTTTTTAATTTATTTTAAATAGGCTTGATTAAACTTGGTTGGATGCTGATAATGCAAGAGAGATGTTCCTATCCACATGACTGATAGCGATAGTTCTTTACTATATTTGCTTGATTGTTTTGAAACTGATGTAACAAAAATGCTTTGCTGTTGTCTATTTGATTTTATATACTGCCTTTCCTCCGTATTTGTTTCAGCTGAGTTTTTGGGGGAGAACAAATGCAGATACTTCTAAAAACAGTACATAAACCCACAAAAAACCTTCCTGTGGCAGTACTTGCCAAACTTTCAAAATAACCAGCATTTGCATGTTGGTAATTAATTCACTGTTGCCTTCTGTCAAAGCTTTCCTTTGCCCTGGGTTTTCCCCACCCATCAGTAACTGTACAGTTAATTTTGATTTCAGGTTCTGGGATTCAGAAAGACCTACGGTGTGTTTTTAATTCTGTTACTCTCTGTTAGAATTTGCCTAATATCCTTTTACTTAAGCTGGTATTAAAGGTTTGGGCACACGGTTGTTTAGCTGCTGGATCTCTGTGTTATTTTGCAGGCAATATCTATCCTCAAGATGACAACAGAGCTGCTTTTTCTGTCTTGATGTGCATCAGAAAAATGTCTCCCGCTGTTAACTGTCAGCATCAGTAGTGGGTTTAATGCTAATTTAGTTTAGAAGAGAAGTGTCCAGCAGCATGTCCTGCTCTCCAAGCAGGTTTTGAACGTAGTTTTCTGAAACTGGCTGAATGCTGCCGATCCTTGTCAGCTGAATGGTATGCAGCTGAACTGCTGCTGAACTTGCCTGCTGCCGACACTGCTTGTCGGCAAGAGATATTTCATCTAATGCAGATGTAGTTTCTTTGAGATTGTTAAAGCAGTGTTGTTTGTGAATCAGCAAACCTGTAGAATCTGGCGGCGGGGGGGGGAAGTATTCCTAAATTTTTTTGTGTTTTCTGTTACGCAGTTTTCCATATTACTGAAATGGCCTAGTATAACTGTAGGGTTATACACTCGCCTCCTTTGTGTTCCCAGCCAAGCAGGGGAAATCAAAGAAGTTGGGGGGGAAAGAGGAAAAAGCTCAGGATCTCACAGTAGTCTTCACTGTCTTCAGTTTGGACACCAGTCACCTTTTGAATTTGAGTTTAGGCAGTGAATTAGGATGTCAGCTCCCTGTGTAGTCAGATGAATGTGTATGTGCATAGGGAGGAGGTATAGCGGGATGGAGACACCTCTTCAAGGAGCTAAGTTAATGAGTGAAGTTAATTAGATGGCTTGATCTTATTTAACAGCTTGTTGCTTCCTGAAGTCAAAGTTGCCACATTTTCCTCTCTCCTTCCATGCTCCCTGTTCTTGGCACTGCAGGCCAGCTGCTTACCATGTGCCCACTGGTGCTCTGATGACCCAGAAAACCAACTTTGAGTTGCAAAGAAGCAGGAAATTACCCCAGAATGTTTTGGGTTTTTTTTAAAGGGGTGGGGGGAGTTGGTTTCTGCCAGGCCCATTAATATGTTGAATTGATTTGCTGTGAATTAGACAAATGCCAGACCTAGAGTAAAGGAGGGAACAGGGCCATGCGTGTGGGAGTAGAGGATGGGGAACAGGACTTTCCCTTTCAGTGACAGGCTGTTAAATCAGCATTACTGATTAATACAGCCCAAAGGTGGTGATTCACAAGAAGTTAATTTCTTGCTCTGAATCACTCCGGAGGAGCTGATCCCTCTCTGCTGACAGTGTGGCCTGAGGAGACTAATCTCTGGCTTTGCAACCCAATTGATTTGTGTGTATATCTGTACCCCTCCCATTTGGTAACCTGAAATGTTCTGTATTTCCGCAAGCGTAAGAATTCATCCCCACCCCTTTCCTCAGAAAATCAAGAATAAATTATTTGGTTAAGGTACATTCTGTCAGCTTTATTCTAGTTACGTGTGGATGTCATTTGTTAATCTTAAGTGTATTGGTCTTTTAATTTGATTTAATCTGGATTTTCTTTCCATTTCAGTGATATTGATTTAGTTGTGTTTGGAAAATGGGAGACATTACCTCTTTGGACCCTGGAAGAAGCTCTTAGAAAGCACAATGTAGCAGATGAAAACTCAGTGAAGGTTTTAGATAAAGCAACTGTAAGTTTGGGGGAAGAGGGTATTTCCTTGTTCTAAGCTAAATTTCTAATCAAAGAAAGATCTTGGTTAAAAGGATGAATTTTCATAAGCAGAAACTATTTTATATATAAATTTGAAATAGAACCAATAGAACCTTTTTATTTAGTACCGTTTTTATTACTGACAAAATAATTGATAGTGCTCCGACAGAAGCATTTCTTCTGTTGGGGAAAATCATCGGATTTTCCGTACTGCACAACGTACACTTGCGTTTAAGTGAGGTTATACTACTCATTGTTGTGAATTTATGTGATTAGACTTGTGAATTTCTGGACTGAGTTTGTACATAAAGAAATGATTTTTTTTTTTCTTCTTATTCCAAGTAAGCAGACGTAATACATTTTCATATAGAAGTAGTAAGTACAGCCTTGTATAAATACGTAATGGTATGTCTTGTGCAGGATAGGACTTCCTGCCTTTTGCTAACTGTGAGAGTATGTAAGAGTTGGGGTTTAAACAGGTGTCTAACTGATGGCTATTATAGTAGAGAGAGGTAATTTGGAAACCACTCAGGTGGAGGTACGTCAGAGTGCTCTCAATATCTTGTGCTTCTTGTTTGAACATAATTTTGATGAGGAATCAATTACACAAAATGACACAACTGTGTCTTTTCTTAAGAATATATGTCTATTACCATTTATCTTTATTTCTTAAGCGTTTGTCTCCCTCTGGTGTTTGTTTTTCCCACTAGAACTATGCTTCTGCACCAGGAACTGAATAAAAACAATTTAAAATGAATCACTTTGAAGATGAAGTGTTAAGTTCTGTTAAACAGTGTAGTAAACTGAAAATAGCATTTATGAGTTAGAAAAGGAAAGTTTATGTAAACAGATTGGCAAGGAGAGTGAGTTCATAAATAGACAGGAGTCCTGTTTTCTCTGTCAACCTCCTCTCTACAAATTCATAAAACGTTTCAGTTTTACTGGTGCATGTAAGTATGAATGAAACCAAATGTGCTTGGAAATCTGTATTGACTTAATCTGTCTTTCTTTTGCAGGTACCTATTATTAAACTGACAGATTCCTTCACTGAAGTAAAAGTTGATATAAGCTTTAATGTACAGAACGGGGTTAAAGCAGCCCAGCTCATCAAAGATTTTATCAAGGTTAGGCAACACTATAATAGAACTACAGAGCTGGATATTTGATGACTTAATTTGATTTTTTTGTTTTACTTCGACTGCATCCTTACTAGAGATACGCTTTCACTCTCTGTTATTTTTTGCTGTCTGATACTATTGTGTGACATTCTTAGGTTTTAGATATATTGCCCTAAAAGGCATGAAGATAGTAAAATGTACAAAGAAAGTATGGAGAAGTTATAATGATACAATGACTAAGGAAAATACAGTAATACCTGTCTTAAATGTTCTGCTCTTCTAACTGTGGTTCCTTGAACCACAGTTTTAGTTTTTCCATTTTCCCACACATTCCTGCAGAAAGTAGGAATAGATTGAATATTGTTTCAACATAAAAATGCTAATTAAGTAGAATAAGTTAAATTTAGCAAGTTATTTTTCAGGGATTCACTAATACCTGTATCATTGATACATTACAGTTACTTTTGTTTAATATATAGGATCATTTTGTTACGATTAATGAGCTTTTGTATTTAAAGTTTTGAAGTATCATTACACTCTTTTTCCTTTCCTTCCCTTCCCCTATTCATTGGATACTTGTAATGTCTCATAAAAGCAGTAGAAAATTTTTCTTGGATTTTCATGTTTTGTGTAGGGAGGAGATGAAGTGCAGTTCAGTCTCACTTAAGTGCTTAGGTATTACTGTTCTACTACTGACTGCTTTGGTTTTTTAACCAATCTAATTGGATTCTCTAATGGAGAATCAAAGTATTTCAATAGCTAGACAAGTAAAACTCCTTCAGAAAACTCTGTAAACCCGAATAAAGCCAGCACTTTACTTTCAATCATAAGGGTTAGGAATCGTGTACATCTGCTTTAATAATGTCATCGAGTCAGCAAGAAGTCTTCCAAATTTGGGGGGATTTTCAACTGCTGATGAGTTGAATGTATGGCCTTCAACTTGTTAATCTTCAGTTCCTTTTTGTATGTCTAGTAGCAAGTATGAAAGTAGCTCAGTTTGCTTCTACAGTGTCTATTTCTTTAACCTGTACAAGGACACAGGAGAAAAATCTCTGTCCTTAGTTCAGTTTCAGTAGAATAGTCTGAGTTCTCGTCTGCATAGTCTCACCTGTGTGCTTAAATAAACCTTCTGCTTAAACGTTGTGGTGGTGAGGCCTCTTGCATCCGCATTCAGAGTAAGAGGGCGGCATGGGTCCAGAGACCTTTCTTCTCTCAGCCTCTATCTGATGAACAGAAGTTGATTGTGTTGGCCAACCCTTTGCTGCTAAATCAAGACCGATAGTTTTGTACTATGTAGCTCCTTATTGGGGAAGGAGGATGCCCAGATTCTCTGTCGTAAGACGCCTACCTAGAATTTGGTAGCTAACTTCAGTTTTTACATCCTATGCATTGTCGCATTACCTTGTGGTGGACAGGCTGTCCGTATTTGGTTTTCTGCCACAACACAGGGGCTGTATTTCTGTTACACTCCGCATATAAATTTATTTTTGGGTAAGTCCATAAAGCCCTGTGTACTTGCCCAAAATTGCCTATGTACTTCTTAATTTCAAGAGAGGAGGTAGTCTTCTCTTGAGAGTCTGAAGGCATTTTTGTGTGCTTAAAAAAAGAAAAATGTGTTAGCGTGTTCCTGTTGCCTGGGTTATTTGTGACCCTTTGGAGAGGCTGCTTTGGCCTTGGGTCAGGGCACGGTGAGAGCCGGCTGTGCCCCCAGGGAGAGAGGGGGAGCTGCGTGTGGCAGCCAGGCAGGCATGGGGCAGAGGCCTTGCCCACCAGGCTGCAGCCCCTTGGTATCCCAACCCAAAGAGCAGAGCAGGTCTGGTGACAGTAGTCAGGGTCAGCTCACAGTCCAGCCAGCGGCTGGCAGACAAGTCCCCAGTGAGGAGGTCGAGGCTGAGGACGCCAAGTCAGTGGTTAGGGTCAGGATCAGTGCGCAGCAAGCATGGCTCAGGCAGATGCCAAGGGGAACAGCTGAGATGGAAAGCAGCTCTCGAGTGAAATGGAGGGACTCCCAGCTAGGCTTTCCACATGGCGCTTTCCCACGTGGCTGTTTTCGCAGCAGCCCAAGCCAAGGCCATGCATCTGTGCTGTACCAGAGCTGGCCTTGAGCACGGGCGGCTGAGCCTGGTGTGGTGGGGGAGAGGTGGCACTCAACCCTGACACACGGCAGGTAATGGCTACACTACCGTGGAGCGTCGTTTGTTTAACTAGGAGGAAACTTGATGTGTACTTGCCAAGTAACTTCATTGGTGTCCTTGAGGATCTCTCTATAAAACACTTGCAGGGCATTCTCTTGGGTCTTACCTTGTCCCACGTAACTTTGAATACTTAACTGAGGTGTCATGTTCAATGTTACCCTTGGAAATGCTTATTTCTCTTTACCCAGTTTATCTAGGATGTCTGAGGCAGCTGAAGCCTTAATTAAGGGTTTGCAGTTTCCTGAGAAAAATCCTGTCTTTCACTTTTGGTATATGCTGATATTCAACACTTCAGCTTGTGACTGTAAGTTCTTAATAGTTCAAAAAGGTGATCTTGGGATCTTCAGTTAAACAGGGCTCCCAATACTCACCGTAAGACTCGTGCAGAGAAGTTCTTGGAGAAATTCTTCTTTTCACTTTAACCTTTTGCAATCACACATACCATGATCCGCATCTCTTCTCTGACACTAAGGAACTTTTTAGCTCTGTGTTGATAAAAGGAGTGATATTATCGAGCCTCTTTTGCCCCCTCCCCTGTGAGGGGGTGTCCAGAGTGCAGGCTTAGGCCCAGGCTCCACTGCTGTCCAAAAGGTCCATGTTTTCCGCATGTGCAGCGTATGTACACCTCTAAGGGAAGCCATGTGGACAAACCTATATTGAAGGGCCAGTTACCCCAAGGTGAGCATTTGGCTCCTTTAAAAATGTTTTCTGGGCGTAGTAACTTTGAAGGATCATTTTGAACTCTGGGCATCTGAGGTACTTGCAGGACAGAAGTCTTAGTCCACCCTGGGATATCACCTTGGTTGTAGCAGGAAGGTTTTCTTACAGACGTGGTATCTCCATAGTTCTTCCTTTGCTTTCCTTTTCACCTGTATGAGAAAAGCAAATGTATTTATATATTCAAACAAAATCATTCTGATTTTATGAGGTAGTAACTTTTTTCTATTGTCAATATCTGCCACCGGAGTTGAAGAGGTAAAATAACTGTCTGATCACAGGCAGAGCACTTGGCTTCTCCCCGTTACTAAAAATAATAAGTTAGAATTATGCTTAGTTTTGAGACTTAATGTAACAGATAGCTTCAATATGCTTTCTTAGCATCAGTTGTATATATGCATCACAGTATCCTAACACCTTTGGTTTTCTCTTTCAGAAATATCCTGTATTACCGTATCTAGTTTTAGTACTGAAACAGTTCCTGTTGCAGAGGGACCTTAATGAAGTATTTACAGGTGGAATCGGTTCTTATAGTCTTTTTTTAATGGCTGTCAGTTTCCTTCAGGTAAGCGTAATGAAATCTGTTGATGCCATTGGTGCAAAAGGACATTACGTTAAGAAGGAATTTAATCAATCCTTAAATTTAATCATTTAAGCTATCCCGTTTCTGGTTTTGAACCCCCTTTTCATTTAAAAAATAGACACATCCCACCTGCCTTCTGTTCTTTCTCCCATACTGATACTTTTGGTATTAGAGATGTTTGGAACATCCGTTGGTGTATCAGTACCAAGCACATGTGTCATTCGTGGTAAAATAACTCGACTATGGTGTAACTTACTTGGAACAAGCCACATAGGTTAGTGTTAGATGCAGCTGTCCTTTATAACACTTGTTTTCCAGGTCATACACCCTGTATGTGCTTTATTGAATGCAACTAAATTTTCTTGTTTGCCTACCTTTTTAAGCTGGTATCAAATAAATGTGTTTTACAACTTTCTCTTAAATCTAAGAGAACAAAATGCATGTGCTAAATCTATATTGTTGTGCCTGGGGGAGAAAAATATTGTAGAAATATGAAGTAGCCGAGTTCTGGCTTTATCAACTTCATTCTTTTTCTTGTACTAAATGTTATTGTATAACTCTGTGTGTGTGTGTATGTCTGTACTTTTCCAGATTGTAGTTCGTTTTAAACCTGAGCCTTGAACTGGAGCTCAGCGTTTGCTGAGTGCTATTGCAGTTGCCTGCTGAGCACAAAGAAATGAAGGCGACAGGACTATCTTTTTGAAAGAAACCAAAATGTCTCCCAACCCCAATTTTTTCTTATATTGACTAATAGCATTTGCATTTGCTCCTGCAAAAAAAGAAGTCAGGTTTTCTATCTGTTACAATTATGAACTGGTTTTGTTCATAATCTCTCAGGCTGCCTACTTAACAGTAGAGGGAATCATTTATATAGCTGTGTACATTAAAAACCTGTATTTGTATTGCAAACCCAGGTTTGTGAAGTGCAAATATCTTCACTTTTTTACAAGAACCCTGCCCTTAGTGCTGGAAGTTCGCTTATTAAACTGAAAGTTCAAATACAAAAACATTAATACTTGCCAGCCTTATTTTTAAGAGGTAACTAGTTTATAAAAGTTTTGATAGCATCTTGTTTTAAAGATGCAAAACTGCTTTATCAAGGAAAAATACTATATTTAGCCATGTTTGCTTTATATATTACATTTTATTATTATTTATTATTGTATTTTGACACGTTTGCTGTGAAAAAGAAAAGACACTTAAAGGCACTTGAAACTTGAAGTCTTAAGAAAACGATTTTTTTTTTTCTCTTCTTAATAGCTGCATCCCAGGGAAGATGCCTGTATGCCCAATGCCAACTATGGTGTTCTTTTAATAGAGTTTTTTGAATTATATGGACGTCACTTCAATTATCTGAAGACTGGAATCCGAATAAAGGATGGTGGCTCTTACGTTGCCAAGGATGAAGTGCAAAAAAGCATGCTGGATGGCTACAGACCATCAATGCTGTATATCGAAGATCCATTACAGCCAGGTATCCTCACAAACCAAGATTTAACGTATTGACTAGGAAAAAAACTCAGGGGAATGCTTAATCCAGAGGAGTTAAATCAAAGAATAGCATAGGATGACCACCAAAACCCAAACAGAAACACCTCATTCATGTCTGTGAACACAAGATGCACTCAGAACACAGTGATTTTCTTTAAGACATGTTCCTAGCAAAAGCTACCGTGTCACCCAAGAGCATGCCTGTTCTGCAGTCAGGAGGTATGGTATGAGAGGGCACGCCAAATAACTTCCACGTGCTCTGTGGTAGCGGCAATAAAGCTGCAGCAGCGCGGGCCTGAGTAGCAGTGGGCTAGATGTACCTGTTTGTACGCACAGTCCCTTCCAGGCTTGTGCTTGGCTGTATCACAGTTGCACCTTACAGTGTACATATACTCTTATGCATGCTCTCCCGTTTGATTCTGTAAAGTCACATCAATAGGTAGTGGGTTCATTCTGTACTGTTACCTTTATGTTAGGGTTGATTGTTGACTTGAATGGGTGGCTTCTGAAATGGTAAGTCAAGTGCTGTTCATAGAAAAGAGTTAACATATTTCTGATCTAAGAAAATGTCATCCAGGATAGTACTGTTACATGTGTAATATATGCAGTACATGATTTTGGTTTTTTTCTTCATGTATTGCACTTTTACCCAGAGAATTGCCATTTTGGGCTTCTATATATGTAAATATCTATAGGTCTTCTGAGCTCTTTCAAGTGTTTATGATTCACTAATCCTCTTCTATTTCACAAGAAGTAACTGCAGTGAGTTGGGACTTAAGGGCAATTTTAAAAAATACTGCTGTCTCTGGTCTGAAAGGAGGTAACCACAGTTCCAGTCTTCCTTATTTAATTATATTCTTATTTTAAGGTAATGATGTTGGGAGGAGTTCCTATGGTGCCATGCAAGTGAAACAGGCTTTTGATTATGCCTATGTTGTTTTGAGCCACGCGGTTTCCCCAATAGCTAAATATTATCCTAACAACGAAACGGAAAGGTAAATTTTATGACTCTAAATCTCAGACATTAATTGCTTATATTTTTGTGTACCTAAAAATTAACTGTGGTGACATTTGGGTTTTTTTTCCCGGTTCACAGTATATTAGGTAGAATAATTAGAGTAACGCAAGAAGTGGCCACATACAGAGACTGGATATCAAAGCAGTGGGGAATGCAAAGTAGGACAGAGTCTTCATGCAATGGTAAGTTTTGACTAAGCGTCGCTGATAGTGGGAAACTTTCTGCGTATTTTGATCATACAAATTTTGTTATTGCTTTTGCCCCACATAAGGCAATGTATGCATCTTAATATGAATTTACTTTTTTGCCTAGTAGTGGTGGACTTTTTATTGTGTTCTCATCCAGAAGATTTAGATTTGTACAAGAATAAAAAGGCTATACCACAACATCTTTATTCTACTGCAATAGGTTTGGTCAGCACAGAGGTCTGTAAAGAGTTCTGGCTTGCAAAAGGAGGCTTTTGAGAAACTTCCAATTTAAATTACACGTGTTGCTACTGTCACACTTCCTTTGGCCTTTCAGTGCGGATAAGGTTTTAAAAAGAATTACTGGGAATGCTAGTTTAAATCTAAATCCTTACTCTCCATTGTTCTTTTATTTTTCATTTTAAAGTTTAACATATTGTATGTGTACGGAAGCAATATTTAAACCAAGGTTGACCATATAAGTGAAATAAGTCTTTAAAACAGAGAAATCCTGAAATATCAATCATAATTCTTGTTACTAACAAATGGAAACACACACAATCTAGCCAGAGAACATGCTGAAAATGTTCTTTAAAATGATCTTTTTTTCATTGCCCATCTTCTGACTGGCAACACCAGCCAGTTGCCACCCTCTTTTGGTGTAGGTGTATTTGCTGGCTGAAAGTTTTCAAATCAAAATTAATTTTAATACTCTACAATTAATTTTAGAATGTTAGCTACTGGAAGTCTTCTCTTGTTAGGGGTTAATCAGAGAAGATGACACAACTACCCAGTCTTTAGGCTAGGTTGGGATTTTGTTTATTTGTTTTTAAAGCTTTTGTTCGCGACTTCCCTCGCTGTCCTTGTAAATTGAATGTGCTTCTTGGCCATTCACGTTTTATCGATCTGTAGACCCTTGTGGCACTGCCATACCCCTTACTAATGGCAGACAACCACGGTTCAGTCCCGCAAGCTCCAGAGTAATACTTAGCTGCCTATTGTGATGTATGTACTGAACTCTATACACAAATGCAGCTAGCAGGGCAACAAATGCATATTATATAAATCAGAGGTAACTCCTAGGTGTCTTATGTAATTAAAAAAAATAAAAACAACCCTGTATCAGGAAGATAACGGTGACATTTACAGTGGTCGTCTTGTAGATTTAGTTCAGATTTAAGTTCCAATACTTTTCTTTTTAAGGTAGCAGTTAGTGAGATGCGAGAGTTCTGTATCTCGTCTTTTCAGTGCAGGGTATCATACGAAGCAGCCAGACTTATTTGGGGTTCTTATGACCCTAGCAGCTCCAGCAGGAGAAAAATGGGAGTTGATGAGTATTGGGCATATAGGAACAGATTTTAAACCTATGTGTTTGAGTGCTGTTGAAGTGTGTCATCTTATTAAGCAGCACATCTGAGCTGTTACTACCTTCTTCCATGTCTTAACTCTCTAATTTCCATCTTGAGCTGTGGGTAATGCTTGGTCGTTTTCACAGTGTACATTAGTGGATCTTGTCAGGAAACCACCACGCCCTCCGCAAGGTGTTGGCTTGCTGCATGCAGTACATACATACAAACACATGCACACATGTGCCTGAATGTATTAAAAGCATGTACGTGTTGCAGATGTCTGTACATGTCCTGCTGGGTATAATAGATAGACAAGACCTGAGTGGGTCTATTTTTAAAAAAAAAAAAAAAAAAAAAAAAGGCAACATTTTAGCAGTTAATGTGTGGTGATGCTTCTGTTTTGTTTTTAATAGGTAATGGAGTAACCTTGATAGTAGATACTCAGCAGCTAGACAAATGCAACAATAATCTTGCTGAAGAGAATGAAGCACTGGGAAAACCTAGAAATAAAACTTCAGAAACACTTAGTAAACATTCTTCAAATTCTTCATCAGGTCCTTTATCATCATCATCATCTACCCTGTCCAGCTCTAGTGACGTAGTAAGTACTGGAGGTTTTCTGATTTTGTTTTTTCAATTTGTTTGGGTTTTTTTCCTGATCTGTATTGCCACAGAATACATTTGGCAAGCTCGGAATCATAGAACAGTTTGGGTTGGAAGGGACCTCTAAAGGCCATCTAGTCCAATCCCCCTGCCGTGGGCAGGGACATCTTCAACTGGATCAGGTTGCTCAGAGCCCCATCCAACCTGACCTTGAATGTTTCCAGGGATGGGGCATCCACCACCTCTCGGGGCAACCTGTGCCAGTGCTTCACCACCCTCAGCGTAAAACATTTCTTCCTTATAGCTAGTCTGAATCTTTTAGTTTAAAGCCATTCCCCCTTGTCCTGTCGCAACAGGCCCTGCTAAAAAGTTTGCTGCCATCTTTTTTATAAGCCCTAATCCTAGTTAGTTATTTCATCCAGAATCCTAACTTGCATAAGATGTTACCTCTTATGCAATTTCTACACATGTAAGTTGCAGTATGTTTTTGACACAACACAGGTAGAAAGTGAACACACTAGATACAAAGTTACATAGCCCTCTTTTCTCTGGGAAAACTGTATTTCAAAAAAAAAAAAAGACTGGTAGTGCTAAAGCCATGTGCTTTTTTTAAAAAAAAAAAGCCTTGAAAAAAATCTGTTTGGGAATTCTATTTTAAAAATAAAAGACAAATCCCAAAATCAGAATCATGCATCAATACATTTTAAAATCTGTCCATTTTACCCAGTAAGAGTTCTGGATTGAAAGAATTTTAATACCTAATAAAATAAACACATTTGAAGTTTTGTCCACTCCTAGCTTTATTTTTAAGGGAAAACTCACTTGTAGAAAAACTCACTTGTTCTTAAGAAAAACTCACTAATACTTTACATTTTCCTGAAGGATTCTGATGGAACACCTTGCAAAACCTCTAAACAATTGAGTTGTCGTCAGTCTACCACAAACAGAGTGGGGTCACAAGAAGTGTCGCTGGAATCCTCCCAGTCAAGTGGGAAAACACAAAATAGCCAAACAGCCAATACATCCAGCAACACGAACAAATCTCAGGTTTGTGAAATGTTCCGAAACAACAACTGTCTAGATTATTTCAGTATTACACATACCCTCCATGGAAGGGTAGCTTGTTCTGGAAAGGAAACACTGCGGTTTTCTCCTCCCCTTTACCCCACTAGAAAGCTCTGAGCAGTGATTGTATCTGAAATCACCTGGTTTTCTGTTTAGCTTACAGAGATGAGTTTACAACAGTGGCTTTCCTAGCCTTAGAACAGATGAAATTGGATTGATTTTATTTTGGGAAATCTAGATTGGCCAGCTGTGTTGCACCCATTTCCTTTTTGCAAAAAGCACGTCAGTCCAGCTTTCCTGCAGAATTTGAGAACTAATGAGTCCTGCCTACACTTCGTGAAAAATAGTTAGCAAAAATATATGTTTAAAACTATGACTGGCTGCTCTGTTAGCCGTTGATACTTGTTGAACTGTCTTTCATTAAGGGGGATGAAGGTTCCTTGCCAATACGTGAAATTCCCTCTCATTTCCCCCTAAAGACAGATATCTTTATGATGAGACCTACCAGAGCTTATGCATTTAGGGGATTTTTCACGTTGAGGAATGCTTCTATGACAACTCAGTAATCTGGAAATATTGCATGCCTCTATATACAATATACTTTGGATATATGCGGTTTAAATTTTTACACTTTTCCAGAATTTAGGACTTCTTTAATGTATGAAAAATAGTCTGGGATCTTCTGGAATATTATTCCTGAAAAGTAATTCTGAAGACCTGCTGCCTCCTGATGATCTACCTCTAGCTAGTAACGAGACAGCTTACAAACTAGGCCTTGGATATACCATGAATGTCTGTTTGTGTTATTATGCCGAGCTAATTCTGGTGCTGGTATGTGAATAACACGATCTGAGATACTCCACATCTGTAAAAAGATGTGGTATAAAATTAGTCCTGGTCTTCAAAGAATCTTGTCTTAATTTTGCACAGAAGATGAGATTTGAGCAGTCTTCATCGGTCATCTTGGATTATGGACTTCTGTTTCTGTGAAACACTTTTTTGACGGTTGCGAAATGGGAGCGATAGAACAGTTCTGTCGTTATCAAAATTCAAAGCACTCTGCTCTTCTCTCTTGACCTGCATGGTTTTGGATCTAGAGATGAACATTTGTTTGCATCTGCCGAAGTGAAAGATGCGTGGTACTGTGCTGCTGTCTAAGCAATGGCCTAGCTGCTTTTGCCATACCGATTTTTTCAAGTGTGACACTTTCATGAGTTAACATCCTCATTATCCAGAAATAGGGTTCTGTAATTGCCGTGCTTTTTTCTTTTTAGGACTGATTTACCATGTTCCCTTTCTTTTACAGCATGGATCTGCACGGTTATTTCGCTCTTCTAACAAAGGCTTCCAAGGTCCAACAAATTCAAGCCACGGTACCTCAGTCACAAACAAACAACATCAAGGCAGCAAATCGCACCATCAGTTTTTCCACGGCAAAAAGAGGAAACACAAGAGGGATGCAGCCCTTTCAGACCTTTGTAGATAGTTGCCTATTTTATGACTGTTCTTCTGTGTGCAATGATCTCATGCTACAGGATAGTTTGATAGTGACTCCTTGGATCTCTTCCGGAGCTTCAGACTGTTCAGACATTGATTAGCAACTGCATTTTTTTTTTTCCCAGCTCGCCACGGAACGGATCATGAAGATTGATCACTGCAAAAAAAAAAAAAAAAAAAAAAAAAAGAACAAAAAGAAAAAAAATTAAAACAAAAAAATTTTTAAAAAAAGAGGAAAAAGGCTGCTCATTTGATAAGTCATATGCTACAACAGGGTCATTTAGGATATAAAAGCTTGAATGTAAAATAAATGTATTTCCCATCAGCTCATGCTGACCTGTAGAGGTAGTACTCAGTGTGTCTAGGGGGTGGTAACAAACAAATAAAACACAAAAAAATAGGAAAAAAAAAGCAAAAAATTGTATTTTGAGGGAAACCCAGCCTTTAAAGGTGAAAGTAATTTGTGCATGATTTTTTTATTATTTTCGCATATACTTACCATTTTATTGTGTATATATAGATGACCATATAGGAAAACTGACATTTGTAATAGTGGATTTGTTAATACTTTTTACATAACATTACTGTTTAAATTGTAAACATAAATTTTTCTCAGGATTAGTTTGGAAAATAATCTGAATTGTCATCTTAACATCCATATAAAGAGACATTACTAGTTATATTGCTCAGAATTTATTTTCTTGGCATTTAAAAGATTTAATAGAGCATTTGATCTGCAAAAGCTGTTCCTCTGAAAGAAAGGTTTATGGTGGCAAATGAAGTTTTTCATTTGTATAAAGTGTACATGTACTTTGTGTAGACACTGAGCTTGTCATCTCGGAGAAGTAACCTTCACCTTGTTTTCTAGAGTGCCATCATTTCAGGCAACGGGGGTTTATAGTTGCATCCTTCTCTTCCTCCTCTTAGTGGTCTCTCCCCGACCCTTTCTTTTTTTTAAAGAAATATAAAGCCACTTGGGGGTTTTTTGTTTGGTTGGTGGTGGTGATTGTTTTCTTCCTTTTTTTGTCGGTTTTAAAAACACAAACAACGAAACTCCGTTTGTTACAGACGTTTGCATTCCTGGGCTGCTTTAATCCCATGCCTCTTTGTTCGTGCCTTCCCTCCCTCTTCCAGGTCTGGGTTTTTTTGTCTTTTATATTTTCGCTAACTCCTGTAGGAGATGATAACTGTTGAAGCTTTAAGTAAATTTTACAATTGAAGTATTTTTTTTCCTCACTCCCCTCTTAGGCATTTTTATATTTACACTTAATTATTAAAAAAAACTTCAAATAATGAAATATACTTTGTATTGCCTTAAAGACCCAAACCTTTCATATCTCATCGTATTTCTTCATTGACCTAGTTATCATTTAATTTAAACTCCGCATTTGTCTGGTTCAGTCGCATTACAAGTCTAGGCTGCAGTAACTTTTGATGCCATGAATACGAATCAAATGTGTAATTACACTCACAGGCAGAGCTTGGAACAGGAGTTGGGACACTTCAGTGGTAGAAAGTTAAGTGGCATTTACTTTCACGTATTTCTTTAAAGAGGAAAGTCTGTACTCGGCATAGGTGGCTGTATTTAATGCAGCTGTTCTGGAGATGATGCTTTTATAAAAAGTACTATTAGCTTTTAGAAACTTTCTTTTATATACATTTACAGAATACGTCAGACCAACCTGACCTTTAATGGGCACTAATGAGTGCAATGATTTTTAGAGTAAAATAATGCTAAAATAAGACCAGAACTGATGTCCTCACTTAAATTAATAAACATTTTCAATGTGTTAAAGTGTTTTACTTAAAGAAGGAAATATATATATTCCAAAAATACGGAAAGTCGTAACATTTACTCAAACACTAAGCTTAAGTGATGTTAATTTGACAATGTTTTTTTAAATTTTAGCTTCATATTTTAATTTGATCAGATAATTTTATCAACAAGATGTTGAGCTTTTGTTCATAGAAACTAGTAAAAGTTGTACCACATTATGCATAATCACAGTATTTATTTTGTTTTAGATTATTGTGAATGTGTAGACTTATGTTCACCGCTTAGGGAACAATTATTTATAAATTATATTAATCCAGTATTGTTAGCTGCTATTAGCAAAACTGTTCCAAAACTTAATACTTGCAAAGATCTGTATCGCATTTACCACACTGAAGTGTTTTTAAAAGAATCACCCTCATCGTTGAAAGCAAATGTACTCTTAGGGTGCAGATATTAGTGTTCCAATAAGCATGTGATAATTTTAAGGTGGTGGTAGCGGGAAGATAATCTTGATTCCATTGGGAATCTTAGGTTTGCCTCAATTTATGGTTTTCATAAATTTAATGGAAAATAGCTTTTCCTGGACTGCTCAAGTTTCTTTTTGGTAAACAGTATCTTTCTAAAAGAAAAAAAAAAAAAAAGGAAAAAAAAAAGCATGAAGGAAAAATTGAGGTGTTTTACATTGCCTCAAATGACCAGCATTGTATTCATAAAATACTGTATATCTTGCAAATCTTTATTTAAACAGAACAGTTGAACTGTTCGTTTTTCAATCTGAAGTAAAATACTTTCAAGACCTTTTAGTTTGCCTGCTCATTTGTCTTGTACATTTCATCTCTGTATTTGACTCAAGTCTAATTCCTTTTTGAGTTTCAATACTTTTGTGAAGATTTTGTGAATATATGAAAAATAAATGTTTAATCTAACTACTGCAGTTTATCACCATTCTTGACGCTTACCCTATTTTTTCCTTCACAGTACTGTGGAAAGAGCAGAGCACTCAAGGCGCTTTGTAAGGTTTTTGTAGTATTTGGGTGCTTCCCGAGCTGAGTGCTGGGCCCCTCTGCCTGGAATTTGGAAGCTTATTTTGTTCAAGCGGGCCTGGCCTGCCGTGTTTCCTTCCAGGACAGCTGCAGCAGAGTCAGTATGCCTGAGAATAAGTGGAAGAATATACACGTCTAAAGGGTTCTTAATGTATTACTTTTCTCTGACTTTCCTCTGCACTATACGTCGGAAACTTGTGTAAGGATCCGTTTACTTTGCCTTCGGAACTTGGGTTAGGGGTAGCGTTCCAGCTGCAGGACAGCAGCTGTTCAAAGCTGCCACGCTGAGGAGGGCATTGCAGAAATATGCAAAAGCTAATTTGCGTTACCTTCAGCTAGGAACTGTGTTTAGCGTAGGTCCTGCAGCATGGTTGATATTGCTGAAGTATGTTCTTAACTTTGGTTATCTGCCTTCCTTGCATAAATCAGTAGGGGGACGCACACATACTGAAAGTTATTGTAGTCTACCAAAGACCATCTGAAACACATAAATAAACTGAAATGTTTATAGATCTTCCTGCTTGACATTAGATTGATTTGTTAAGGGATGTTTTTACTTTTTTTTTAAAGAATAGTTCAAATGGTGTTTATAGTTAAAAGCTGTGTTTTGTTTTGGTTTTTTAATTGTTGGTCTTCTACCTTGTGGCAGAAAAGAAGCTGAAATGTAAGTAAACCTTCCTGTTTGTGAGACATGACGTGATGCTGTTTAGTGACCTCCATGTTCTGTGCAGCTTCGTCAGAATTTGCAGCTCAGGGTTTCAAATGTTTGTAATAAACTTGTTTTCCTAGAACTTAATCTTTAGAAAATAATTAGTAGTCCAATGGCTGGCGGCAACTTTTTTGTGTGCTTTAAAAATGGACCTTTTCCATTTTATATTGAGTCATCATGTGTGCATCCTAAACACAGCGTGTGAGCAAGTGATTAGAAAACAGTCTCATCTTGAAAATGTGTTGTAAATAAAAGCAGCCAGCCATTCGACATCTTGATGGCTGTTAAAACTCATGGGAGGTGTTAAACTGAATGTGTGACTCCGACTTTTATTTCCTGAAGAGTAAAAGCTATAGGAGATTACAAAGTACATAATTACTCAAGAAGGAAGTATGTTTACCCATGTAGGGGCTGTAACAAAAAATACATTTAATTATTCCAGCTACCGTTAAAATGCAAAAAGTAGTGATTACTTACTCTGCAGATTCCTAGAACTTAATTCTTTTGCTTAACAATGCAAAATAATTTTCTAAGAATCAAGTTCACCATGTCTTGAAACAGTGCTTGTCTTGAAAGTGCAGAATTTGAGAGCTTTATTTTCTAGCTAATTTGTAGTGTTTCCAGAAGTTTTCCTCAAAAATGTTTTCCAGTTGCAGTGACGTAAATGTGTCTTGACTGTATTTCCATGAGTCATTTACCAGCAGTTCTGACAGATGCGTATTCATGGTTTCATCTGTAAGTTGAAACCAGCCTTGCAGTTCTTGTGGTGCTTAAATACCTCACAGTTGTAGATTTTTCTGTGCCAAAGTTACGGGCTCCTCCTCGTAGTAATTTGCTCTGAGCCTAATTAACTAATCTTCAAAGGTTGGTTGTTAGGATGTTTGAGGTGATCCCAGAGAAATTATCCAACACCAAGAATCCTTTGCAAGTTACTTAATCAGCAATGTCTGGAGTAATTGCAAATGGCCTTATTGGGTCTTTACAAGCCCAAAGTTTGTGTCAAGTACCTACTCGAAAAGAAAATAGGAATAAAAGAGCCAGAAGGTGGCTGTTACCTGTGCATTTTAGCATGGTAGCGCTAGATCAAATTAATCTGCATTTTAGATTACTCTAAAATTTAGATCAGTTAATTTTCAACAGCTTTGATTTTAACTCTTAGTATATTTAGTGATTTCTCCACCACGACCGTTTTATTGATTTGTGGACTCCGAAAACTTAGAACAGAAGTGTGGTGCCTTTGTTAGACACCTTGGCCATAGACTTGGTTGGGGTACAGTTCAATAGGCAGTAGCTAGCTTAAAAATGGCCTGTTCCCATTTGCTCCTTCCTATAGCAGTGCAACCAGTGGTGAACTTGGATGTTTATGAAGCTTGGGAAAAAAAGGAACGTGAGTCTTTAGCTTGCCATAAGTTGATTGGTAAAAGCTGATGGGATCCTAGAAATCACTTCTGTACACAAATAAGTAAGGGAAGACAAAGAAGAAATCTTGGAGATCCTCCACGTAAAAGCCATTTGGAGGAATGCCATCTTTCTGCCTTCCAAGATGCATGAACAATGAGGTGCTGCGAGTCTTCTGGTGAGTCAGTTTGCTCGGACACTGCTGTTTGTCAGACGCTGAATGACCTGAGTGGCGAATCTGCTCACCATCGGAGTATGTTGAAGGTTTCTACGCTCTACGCTTTGCATAGCTGCAAAGGTGTTTATCGGCAATTAGACTGATACTGGTGTGTCTTGGTTCTGCTCTCCTGTTAGGAGTCCGTCAAAAGATGTTTCTTTAATCCTTGATGGCTTTCGATATTTTAAACTTGCTGAATTGAGTCTCCTAATCCTTTTTGAACTCTGAGTCCACCCTTTGGTTTTTGTGGCCCAGAGATTTGGTGGTGAATATGGCATTTATCAAATCCTGTCCAAATGGCTATAGTGAAGCAGGAAGGTGATAGAGATTGATAGTGCTTTATAAAGAGTATTTCCTGCTGCTACAGCTGCTTTTTAAAGAAAACCAAGCACAAACCTCATTAACTGCCCAGGCTGAAGTAGGTATATGTCCCCCTAGCCCTCATACATCCATATTTGAAGCTAGTCTCCGTGCAAATCATTCAACAATCTAATGTTCGGACGCTAGGCCGATTTTTTTTATTTTTTTTTAAATCCTTCTGTATAATGAAGTCCTAATTTCCCATAGTACTAAACACCTGAGGAAGAAACCACTTGGCTGGACGCAAGAGCTGGCTTGTAAAGAATGCAGTTGTGTGGTGCTGGAGGAAGTCTGAGGAACCATGGGTGCAGATTTGGTGAGTGTTTGCTTGTTCAAAATAAAGGAAATGCTCTTGTACAGGTATATAAAGCTACTTTTGCTTATGTATGAAGCAATGCTTGACTCTTGAGCTGAAAGACCATTAAGCAATCAAGTGCTTCTGAACAGCTATTAGAGAAAGT